TGGTTGGTGGCTCTCTAGGATTTCTCTGCGGTGGGGAAGGAGAGGAAGGAGAGGGAGGAGAGGGAGGAGAAGGAGGAGGAAGGAAAGGAGGAGGAGGAAGGAGGAGCAGCTTCTGAATTCTTCCAAAGAGTGTAATAAAAGAGTGATCACTAGATGGCAGCCTCTCTCTATTTTAAATGTAATTTGCTTGGTGGGGAGGTGGGGGGGGGCAGTGATTCAGGAAGTGATACCTGGTTACTGCTCAGTGCTAAAAAAGCAACAGGATAGCCAGCCCCAGCCATCTTTCCGAAGTTTAGACCTGATACTTGTCCTCTGGCATCCTGTACCTGGCCTGGTGCTTGGTGACACTAAGCAAAGTTGGAGGTTTTAATTCAAAGAATGTTTTGAGTTTTGATTTGATGTTGTAAGGCAAATGTCAGATGTGTAGGGTTAGGGTTAGGAGGAGAAAAGCACAATACTTCAGAATCTGAAATTGGCTCCAAATGTGAGGAATTCCTCTAATGACAAGGTTTGTTCTCCTTCCATGTCTCAGTGCCTCGACTGCCAGAGCTGCTTTGGCCAAAAACCTTTTTTGCCTGGAAGCCAAGCATCCAGGTTGTGTGTCATCTTGGCCAGCATCCTCCTTAGGTGATAGGCTCAAGACTTTTCTGCCTTGAGGTAGGACTGGCTTGTGTCTGTGGTTGGTCTGTTGGCCTCTATGCCTTGGTGAAGCCTTGGGAAAGGAACTTAGTGGTTGTTCAGTAGGAAAAATAACCCGAAAATGTATAGGAGTGATAGAAACACCATCTTTAAATGCATAGTTTTATTATGACTTTTCGTCTCCTTTGTTCATACTTGTCTTTTGTGGCTTGAGATGTTAACCTGGCTTGTCAACATTATAAAGATCTCTTTATTCGTTTCAGGTTTAAAAATATTATAGTATTGAAGTGAATTTTTGGAATCAAAAGAGGCCTGGGGTGGTAGAGTCAGGCAGGAGATGGGGAGATGTTATGGGAAAAGGACTGTTTTAATCTGTTCTGAAATGCGTGTGTGTGTGTGTGTGTGTGTGTGTGTGTGTGTGTGTTTAGAGCATTCTCCTTTGCTCTTGAAATATATACCCTTTTTATACTCTTGATGAAAATTGAAAATGGAAGTGAGGTGTAGAATGTTCGATTTGGAAAGAACCTTTGCAGATGATCTGGTCTGACCCCTCTGTTTTGCAGAGAAAAAACCTGAGCCCCACAGAGGGAAAATGTTTTGTCCATTGTTTCAGTCAGTGCCAGACTAAACACAGTTCTCCTATAATTGGGGAATTACTTTTTTTTTCCCCTTTTGATTTTTTTTTCAGTTAGAGTAAGGAGAAGAGAATATTCCAAATGTGCTCTGTCCTTCACTTACCTGCCAAACTAATCTTCCTGAAGCATCATTCCAACTCCATCCTTCTGCTGAAAGATATTCTGGGGCTCAGGATTGTAGCTAGGATAAAACACAAATTCTCCCACTTGGCTCTCTGCGTTGTAGTTCCAATCTGCCTTTCCATTCTTCTCTTCCAGCTAAACTGGCTTACTTGTTCCCAGAATTCAGTATTCCATCTCAAAGCCATGTCCCTTGGCCTAGATTGACCCTCCTCAGGCCACGGACCCAGATTCCCTTCTCACCTGTGTCTCTGCAGTCCTTAGCTTCCTTCAAGGCTCAGCACTGTGGGAAGGCTTTTCTGGTCAAGCCCTCTAGTGGTGACTTTTCTCTTCTACCCAGGTTAGCATGGTGCTCCTTATTGGTCTAAGACGTGTATCCGTCACTTGCATGTCAGCTCTTTGAGGATAGGAGCTGATTTTTGCATTTCTTTATGTTTCTAGTTTGTTTCATTGTGCCTTGCTCATATGCTTATTAATAAGTGTTTGAATCAAATAGGATAGACGATTATTATTTTTGTAAGTATCAAGTTTTTTTTTCTCTGAAAAATTTTTCTCTTCTCTTGTGATAGCACATTGTATTGTTCACAGCACCCTGTCGGGGAGAAAATCGAAAGCTTTTTAGGTGGAAAGAGGTAAAAATTGACCTCAGAATTGTGAGTTTCTGGGTAAGGATGGGACCGATGAGGAGCTTATTGGTGTTGGATTATCATAAGGAAAAACAAAACAAAACCAAAAAACAAAACTTGAGGGGGCTGACCATGTTGTTCAAGGGCACCCAGCCTGCAGGCAAAGAGAAATGGAGAGGAAGGTGTGGTCGACACGAGCCTTATGGATTCTACCCGCATGGAACTGGCAGCTTTGTTGTGGGTGCTCAGAAACTGCTCTCCAGCCAGTGGCAATTCTTCAGTTGTGTCTTTGATTGAAAGTCGTCTTTAACTGGCTGATGACAACTTCGAAAGGTGCCTTCCTTCCTTTGTTGTTTAGGAAGGCTTCAAATGGAAGGAGATCTGGAATCCGCTGCCTTCCCTGGAATAACTCTTAAAAATCCTTTATCATGTTCTCTGAAAGCTGAACTTGTATATGCTAGGGGGTACAACAGGGAAGGGGAAGGGAAAAGAAGAAGCATTTCTATTGCACTTACTGTGTGCCAGGCTCTGTGCTAAGTGCTTTTACATATACTGGCTTAACTGATCTTCACAACAACCCTGCAAAGTAGGTGTTATTAGTATCCAGATTTCACAGTCACAGATTTCACTTGGTTTTTTAAGAACAGACAAACACAATGTTAGGCAGCATGGCGGGAAGAGGTAGCCTGGGCTAGTCGATATGAAGACCTGGGTTCAAAACCTGTCATGGGTACTTATTGGTTGTTGTTTGTCCTTTGTTTTCAAAGGGGACCCAATGACATCATGGGGTGATGTCTTGACTTGTGAGTGAATTGGATCTACTGACTATGATCCTGAGAAACTCACTTCACATCTCTGTGCCTTAGTTTTCTCAGGTAAAATGAGGGCATTATGCTTAATAGTCCTTAAATCAATGAGCCTAATGTTCCAATTTACTACCAGTAATTGAAATTCAAAAGAAAATAACTCCAGACCCCCTCAGGTTCTACTTCTCACTCAGCAAACTGGTAAAGATGACAAAAGACAGAAACAGCCAGTGATGGAGAGACAGTGGGGAGACAGGCCCACTCAGTGGCAGAACCGCCACATTGTTGGTAGACCTGTAAATTAGTTTAGCCATCCACAGTTGGAAATTATTTAAAAAAAAAAAAAAACTTGACCAAAATTCACACCCTTTGACTCATTGTTCCTCCTACTGCACATATACTCAGAGGACATCAAAGATAAAAAGAAAAATGCTCTCTATACCAAAACACTCAGAGTAGCACATTTTGTGGTAGCAAAAATCTGGAAAAACAGTGGGCACTCATCAGGGAACAGCTGAACACATTGTGGTCTTAAGAAAAAGGTAATTATAATAACAGGAGGGAACAAGATTACTCTGTAAGAAATGACAGATAGGAGGAATTCAGAGAATCATGGGAAGACCGATAGGAGGTGGTGTTGAGCAAGGAAAGCAAAAATAGGAGGTGATGAGCACACGCAGTGCCTCCAGTTAAAGTGGAAGATGATCGGGCATTGACCAGGATCAGCTGTGTGGACCACTACTGGCACAAGAAATCAGAGGATGACGCTACTACTAATATTAACTGTTTCTGAGACAAGTAATGATAATAGTCTTTATCGTATCAACAACTTTGTAGCACAAGAGGCATGGCAGAATGGATAAAAAGCTGATCCTGGAGCCAGGAAAACCTAGACACATGTTGGCCGTGTGACCCTGGGGGTTCTAGGCTACATTCTGAGATTGTAAATAGCAGAGAAGTTGACCAACATTGGTGGATGAAATTCCCTTACCTGGGAGTTCCTTATACCAATGAAATCATGGGCCCATTTCTGATCCTTGTTGCAAGGTGCTTAACCTATATTACCTCATTGGATTCTCACAACTCCTTTGGGAGGCAGATGCTATAGAATCCCCATTTTGCAGATGAGGAAATTATGCTCAGGGAAATTGTGGCTTTCCTGAGTTTCTACAGCTTGGAAGGTTTTGAGGTGGGATCTGAATGAAAGTCCTCTTTATTGCAGCCTAGTTCTGTCTCCATTGCCCCAAGAATTCTCCTTTTAGCTTCTCAAATGATGGAATCTTTTGGGGTTAGAGTGGACACAGAGGTGTGGCCTCATGAATATCTATCATCTTACACAGATGAAACTCTCTCCTTGATTTAAAGACCTCTAAAAAAGTATTCAACACCCTTACTTTTTGAAAATTCCTCCTTATGGCAGCCTAAATTCATTATACTTCATATGTAGCTGGACCTTGTCTTTTTATTTTTCCTTTCTGAGTAGAAATTGAAAACATTTAGTTACCGCTTCTTGTACTTGAAGTCTATGGTTAAATCACTTAATAGCTAGCAATTTATATAGTGCTTTAAGATTTGTAAAGAACTTTAAAAATCATATCTCATTTGATCCTTACAATGGCCCTAGGATAAAGGAGCTGTTCTCACCCTCATTTTACAGATGAGGAAACTGAGGCAGACAGAAGTTAAATGAATTGCCCCAGGGTCACGAAGCTAGTAGGTGGTAGAGGCAGAATTTGAACTCAGATCTTCTCGTCCAACACTCTATTCACTGCATTACCTAGCTGCCTCTAATTGCTTTTTAGTCTTTTCCAGGCTAATTCTTTTTCCTTTTTGCCCTTCCTCAGAGGTCGTACCACCTAGATGATTAATAAACATTTCTGAGGTTTTTGTCTAGACTCTGTGCAAGCTTTTTGGTTCCTCTTTATTTGTGGAATCAAACAGTCGATGAAGCAACAAACATTTATTAAGCATTTACTGTGTGCCAGGCACTGGTCAGCGTCTAACCTGTACTTCGTGAGTTTACAAGAAGCTGATTTGTTTTTTAAGCTGTGATGTTCTGGTTTCATCCTGAGGTTTGGTTCCCCCCAGTTACGTTAATTGGAAATAAATGTATTCCTACTTCGTTTGGTTGTAGTGGTGGAGGATTTACCTTGATGTAAACTCTTCTGTTTCAGATCTGTCTATGATGGAGAGGAGCATGGTCGGTTCATGGAAAAGCTGGAATCCCGGATCCGCAATCATGACCGGGAGATTGAGAAAATGTGTAACTTCCACTACCAGGGCTTTGTGGACTCCATCACTGAACTCCTGAAAGTGAGAGGAGAAGCCCACAGATTGAAGGTGAGGAGGCTGGCAGGAAGGAAAGGGGGGAGGATTCACTGGTCGTGGCAAAGGGGCTCGGGACCTATGGCAGTCTGGTAAGAAATGAGGTTTGGGCAGAAACAGAGCCAGGTAAAGACGTTGAGAGCGCTCGGACAGCATGAGTGATGGATCCCTGCGGAGGATTAGAACTAAAAGGAGCTACTTTCAGCCTTGCCCTTAGATGGCTCTGCTGATCACCTGCCTTATTTCTGTTTGAAATAAAAAACAGAAAAACCAAACCTGCATGGAGCTGTCCCGTGTTGTCTCTGGCCTTTCTCTTCCTCAGAGATCCCTCAGAAATAGGGCTGTTTGTCCCTTTCTTGATTTGTTGGAACCTTTGGGTGACGTTGGGGAAATAGAGCTCTCCTTGGGAGGAAAATGTTGTATAACACAAGATGAACTTTTTTTCTTTTCACGAGGAAATGGCTTTGCTGTAGACTCAGTAACTTGTTAGATCGAGTCACTTTTCAAACTGGAGCTATAAAAATGGAGGATTTATTGATATGAGACTGACACAGCTTAGGGGGACAAAAGGAAATCAGGACTGTGCTAGATTTGAATTTAGTATTTGTTACTGTGAAAAATGAGGAGACCAGGTTGATCAGAAGTCCTAAGAAACCAGTGGCATCTTGCAGGTGTTTGGGCATTGTCGATTGGCTCTTCAGGCACCTCACCTAATAAATAAAAATACACACTCAACACCATAGGTCCACCTTCACCCAGCGATTCTTTATGACCTCTTTATAATTAGTATTGTAATTGTAATTCTTTATAATCTTCTCCAGATCCACCATCAAAAGATGCTTTCTTGTTCTTTCAGGTAGTTATCAAATTTACACGTTTATTCGTATGTTTCTTTTCATTCATCATCTTTACAAAAAGTGCTGCTTGTTCATTTGGGCTCCAACTCAATAGTTGTCTTCCAAAATATTTTCAGTCAGTCAGTAAACATTTATTAAGCACCTACTATGTGTCAAAGAAAGATAGAAGACAGTCCCTGCTCCCACGGAGCTCCCCGTGTAATGGGAGAGACAACATGTAAGTAGCTGTGACCAGACAAATTGCAGACAGGAGAACATGGAGGTCATCACTTATCACAGGGCAGGAACCAGGATTGAAGAGCATCGAGAAAGGCTTCTGGGAGAAAGTGAGATTTTACCTGGGACTAGAAGGAAGCTAGGGAAGCCAGGAGGTGGCAGAGATGAGGAGGGACAGTGTTTCATGCATCAGGTGAAGCCAGCACCAATACCTGGAATCACGAGATGAGGAACAGTCAGGAGGCCAGAGTCACTGTTTTGCAAAATACTTGTAGGGGGAGTAAGGTGTAGGAAGACTGGAAAGGTAGAAGCAAGGGGCAGGTTATGAAGGGCTTTGAATGCCAAATTAAGAATTTTGTATTTGAATCTGGAGGTGCTAGGGAGTCCCTGGAATTTATTGAGTCAGAAGTGACACGGGTCAGACCTGCACTCTTGGAAGATCACGTTGGCAGCTAAAAAGAGGATGGACGGCAGTAGAGAGGGATTTGGGCCAAGGAGACCACCCAGCAGGTGCCAGGGACCCTCATGACTATGTGACAACCGTGGCAGAGGAGAGAAGAGGACATATTTAAGAAATGGTGCGAAGGTGAAATCGACAAGCCATGACAACAGATTGGTTTTGAGGGTGAAAGAGTGAGGAGTCAAGGACAACTTCGGGGCCTGGGAGGGTGGTGATGCACTCAGCAGGAAGTTAGGAAGAGGGGAAGGTTTGGGCAGGAAAGATAACAGTTTGAGATGTCTGCAAGGCAGGTGGAGATGCTAGTCTGGAGGTCAGCAGAGAGGTCTGTGCAGGATGGGCAGATTTGAGAGTCATCAGCAGAGAGATGATAATTGAGTCCATGGGAGCTGATGAGATCATAAGTGAAATAGTATGTAGAGAGAAGAGATGAGGGCACAAGACAGGCCTGAGGCCACCTGCAGTTAATGGGCTTGCCTTGGATGAAGATCTGGTAGAGAGGACTGAGAAGGACTAATCCGATATGTAGGAGGAGAACCAGGATGCAGCCACGTCACAGAAACCGAGAGAGAAGAGAGTGTCCTGGGGCAGAGGGGGTTGGATAGTGTCAGGGCTGTCTCGAGGCCAAGAGGGATGAGCATTGAGAAAAGGCCTTTGGGTTTGGCGACCAAGAGGTCACTGGTAACTTTGGAGGAGCAGTTTAGATGGAGTGATGAGGTCAGAAGCCAGACTGTCTGTGTGTGTGTGTGTGTGTGTGTGTGTGTGTGTGTGTGTGTGTGTGTGAAACTCATGTATGCCTGTATAGATACATGTATACACATTTGTGTATACATGTACATACGTATATATGTATTTTGTTACAACCGTGTATATACATGCATGCATAGGTAAAATTTTTTTTGTTGCCTGTCCCTCTTTGCCTTTGGCATGATTATTCACACTGAAATGATCCTTAGGTTTTCCATCCAGGAACCCCTTCAGTGATTGATTACTTCTGCAGGGTATTTGAAACGTCATATTAGCACAGTGTGCTAGCACAGCGAGTTTGGAAGGGCACTGACAGATAACAGCCACAACACCAACCATGACCATCGAAGGGTTCAAGTTTGGGGAGCTGTTGCATCTTTAGGTCTCCAGGTTCTGGTGTAGTGGGGAGGTTGTTGTCCACATGGTGCTTCCTCTTGTCTGCTCATATGACTCCTGAACCTAGTGTAAATGAAATTCTGCTCTTTCACTTAGTTTGGACGTTCCTTGAAAATTATTTTGGTAATTCTCTGCTGTATTGCTAAAGGGGGAATACTCTGATTTCTTGTGATTAGGAAGAGTGCTATCCTAGCACTTCCTTTTTTGTTGTGTTGACTAATATATTTATTAGTGAAAACCAAAGAAATGGAAACTACTGCATATGAATTTGGTATCTCATGCCATGAGAGAGACTTAGGAGAGCCTTGTAAGTATTCTCTGAGCATACTCTCTGACCCTCCCTCCAAGAATAGCAGTGCCATGTTTCACAGAATATTGGCTTGTGGGCCCACTCTGGAGACAGCAGGGATTGGATCCAGGTTCTTGGAGAAGCAGTTTCTTTTATTCATAGAGGGGACATAGGCAGTGAGCTTTGACTGGTGTCCAGGTACCTTTGTAGAGCCCCCTTGTTGCATGAATCCTTGACCTCCTCGAGAGGTTTTTTTCCTCATCACCAATACGGTTGAGGTAGGGAGGATCATTTGAATTAGAGCACACGTCTGAGTGGGCAGTAAGAATGGGAAAAGAAATAAAAGAGAAATGTTAATTAGTCAGAGGAGATCTACGAAAACAAAGCTGAATATCCTTGTTAAAGCTTGGTAGGGCAGGTCCCTGTGGAAGCTGGAAGAATGACACAGTCTGGGGGGTGTTTCTCTGTCTTTTAGTAAGCCTGATTAGACATTTAATAGAAGAGAATTCAGATTTGGCCTCAGTTTTGGAACAAACTGAAATTATTCCATATGAATTTTCTCCTTTTCTCCCCCCACCCCCTAGTTGGAGTCTCAGGATATAAGAATGTAATAATCTGTGCTCCTGTTTGGAAACTTTCTCGTATGTTGTGGAGGAAATGAGTAGGGTGGGCTGCCAGTGGGAGGGTAACTCCTTGAGCAAAGGGACTGCTTTCTGTTGTGCCCCCCAAGCTGCTTCCAGGCACATTTCATAGAGGCTCTGGCCTCATATAAAAGGAGGCTTGAGAGGAGGTCGCTGACGAGAGAGGAGAAGGGAAACCGTGTCATTTAGTGACTGTGACCGTACATTAGAGAACCACAGAACCCAAGAGTGGGAAGGAAATTCAGGGGCTATCTGGTCCAACTTGTGGTTAACCAAGAAACTCCTTTTAGACTCCCTAGCAAACGAATGTCCAGCCTCCGGTGGAGGGGAGAAGGGATGAGGAAGCCTATGCCTTCCAGAGACTCACTCTTATGTTCACTTATGAGCAGCTCTCGTTATTAGAAAGTTTTCCTTCTGTGTTGAGCTAGTATGACTTGCAGCTGCTGTTTCTAGTTCTGCTTTTTGGGGCCAAGCGGAACGAGCTTAGGATGTGAAGTGGACAGAGGGCAAGACTTGGAAACTCTGAGTTCAAATCCCTCTTAAATACTTATTAGCTGTATGAACCTGGGCAAGTCAATAACTTCAGCCTCAGTTTCCTCATCTGTGAATTGGGGGTAATCATAGCACCTATCACCTCCCAGGGTTGTTGTGATGACACATACAAAGTGCTTTGCAAATCTGAAAGCACTCTAGAAATGCTAACAATGAGAGCCCTTGGGAACCTCAAACACTCTCTCAGTGGCTCATTAAATCTTCTCTTTGCCCAAATCCTTCAGCCAGTCCTCTCGCCCTTCTGGCCGCGCTCTTGTGGACATGTACCTCTCCAAATAGGAGATGTCCAGACCTGGATGCAGGGCCCCGGGTGTGTGCTGCCCAGGACACTGACCTGCGGTGCGGCTGCTGTGTCTGCTGTAGGTGTTATTGTTCTCTGTGCTGTGTTGGACACTTCATTGCAGTGATCCAGTGGTGATCAGGCCCTTCCGCGGTGGAAGGCACCCTGCTGAGCACGGAGGCTACGAAGAGGAAGAGTACAGTAGGCTCTGCAGTAAAGGAGCTTTTACTTCTGTTGCTCACTCTTCTGAATGTGGTCTGCCAACATTCTCCAGTCTTTTTCCCAGACCTCTTTGTCCGGCCACATCTCCCCAGTGATGCGCTTGGTTTTGTGAACCCGAGTGTAGAGCTTTACGTTTGTCCCTATTGAATTTCCTCTGTTCTGCCAAGATGTTGTGTCATCCGGGAGTTAGTTATCCTTTAGACGTCGTGTCAACTGCAAATTGGACACTCGGGCCATCTGAGCCTTCGACCAAGTCCTTCATACTCACAATGCCCAGATAGATCTGTGATCTCAGCGATCTGGATATGGACTCCAGTCTGTCCGTGTCTGCCAGGCTTGTTTCACTCTTTGTCCACATCCTCCCACAAGTTCACCAAGGCCTTGTCTGACAAGCATCCTGGCTGTCCGCCCCCCCGCCCCCCTTGCCATGTGACTAGCCCATCATCTCTTTCTGCCGTGCAATTCTTGGTGACCTCCTTGAGTCTGGTTTTCTCACGTTCTTCAGAGTTCCTCCTTTGTCACATGGTGCATCCTGCTCACATTCACCATGTGCCTTTCCATCGTCCCTTGAGTGACACTTGTCTTTAGTCTGAACTTCAGTAGAGGTCTCCTTCCTAGCCGATACTGACCTTGAATGAATAATCTTTGGGTTTGGCATTCACTGATTGCATGTCCACCCAACATTTGGCCCATGTCTCTGCATCTCTATATCTGCCCATCCGTGCTTATCTATAGTGTAAGAGGCTGTCATGTGCTGTGCTGACATGCCAGGATCTTGCGTTGACAATGTTCTCCTGAAGGGATCGTGAATGTGTATAGTTTCGTGATTTAACTTTTGTATTTATTGGTCAGGGTTTGATTTCTACCACAACACCATTTTCCCACGGATGGTGCAGAACGCAATGCTAACATGTACTCTCTCTCTTAACGAGGTGCAGAAGCAGACGCTTCATAGTTGGAGGTTACTCCGCTGGTTGGTAATAGAGGTGTGACTTGGCCTGGAGCCCTCAGCATCTCCACGCTTTGGAGAGGACGTTTGTGTCTTTTGGCAACGGCATCTGTTCTCCTGATGAACAGGAGTGGGAATGTCTTGGACTGTCAGTGTAGCACCTTTAAATGTTTTGCACCAAAGGATAAAAATAGTCATCATTCTCACCAGAAGCATTGATTAAGCCCCTCTGTAGATCTGTACCAAGTGCTGTAGGAATCAAATCTGAACGATGCCCCCTCCATGACTTCCTCTTAGGTGCCGTTGCCAAAAGACACAAATGTCCTCTCCAAAGCGTGGAGATGCTGAGGGCTCCAGGGTAGCCATGTTAGTGATGTTGTACGTTAAAGAAAAACACATTAAATACATTTGTGTGTCAAATAATAACAAAAGACTTAGTGTATTTGGTGGGGGCAGGCATATGAAGGAGTCTGGAAATTAAAAGTGTCTCTTCTTTATCCCTGAATCTAAAACCCCAGAACCAGCGAGATTCCTTCCTTACTTTTCTCTTGGTGCTACTTTAGGAGCCTAGACCGGTTTCCTCAGGTTCCGTTTTCCTCATTTGCAAATCCTCTGCCCCTACTTCAACTGGGACATAGTTTAAAAACCTAATTAAAGAAGCAGATAAATTCCGGGTTTGCGCTGGTTACTGTCATGTGGGCATAGAGACAGGTTTCCATTTAATTCTGCCCAACTGCCTCTCTAGAGGCTGCTTCCCCCATCTCTTCAATGTCCAAGCCAGCATTTGAAGCTGTAAGTGAAGGAAAAACCATTGATGAAATGCTGACCGTCTTTTTTGGTGAAGCCTGGCTTAGGCTGTATCCCTGGGGCTCAGGATGACTGTCATTTCAGAACTAGCCATTAGCATAGTTATTCCTTTAGAACTCTTGGTGGATTACCTTTCTTTTCCTGCTCTCAAAACTGGAATGGCCCATCCTACTCTAGGGGCCTTGACCTTTAGCCATGGCCATGTGAAGCACAGGTCAGATGGACACATCCCATTAATATTTCGCACCTATCTGGGCTAGCTGCAGGCTCCATCTGCTTCACTCTCATCAGGGGACTGAGGCATTTTCACATTGGCCCACACCCTTCCACCACAGGAAAGTGGTTCCTTCCCAACATCCCGTCTTAAGAGTTTTAGAATATTTCAGGCCTTGTGAAGTCATAACAGACAGTTTCTTTTCATACTGAGGAGAAGGTTTCATTATACCTATGAGGAAAAATTTCTCCTTTCTCCATTTTATAGAAATGGATGTTGATGTTCTCTGGGTTGTCATTTCTCATGAAGATTTGTATCTGCTGCCATATTCCTTCCACAGTTAGCCTTCACAAGTCCAAATTGGCATGAAAGCTTAGTGTCCATTTCCTTGGCTATTGTGGCTTAGAATGATTCAAAACCTTTCTTTCATTAAAGTTAATTTTCTCCTTGTGCAAAGGATCTGGAGGTTGCGAATCCTTAGGTATATGTAATTTAACCTAAAATTGTACTTAATTACAGAAAAGATGTAACAGATAGCCTATGCTTAGGCAGTCCTTGTTGTTGATTATATTTGCCTTTGATTCCCCTAACAATGTGCAATGTGTCTAAATGTTTGTTTCATATAACTTTCAAATTGTCTTCTCTCCACAGAATCAAGTGACCGATACTAATAGAAAACTACAGCATGAGGGGAAGGAAGTAAGCCCGATTTACCTTTTGAAAAACCTCTTCTACCTCATATGGTTCATGTCTGATAATCTTGTGTGGGGTTCTTTCTGTTTCTGGTTGGTGAGCGTTTGTGCTGGTCAAAGTGCATATCAGAGGCTGGAGCAGAGCCACGGGGTGGCTGGCATTATGCGTGGCCGAGTGGTTTGGAAGGACCTGTCCAGCCTGAACATTGTTGGATTCTGGGATCTAACCCAAATTAAGTCAGTGAAGAGCCTGGACAGCCGAGACAAGAGAAGAGGCTCCATCCTGGGATGGGTTTACTGAGCAGCTGATCAGAACCAGTGTGACTGATGCTGATTATTCTTTATTAGAGCAGCAACCAGGCAAAACTATTGAATGCAGAAACTTGGCTCAATCAGTGAATTGATGTTAACTTATTTAAAATAGAATATGATTATTTATCAATGAGATTATATCTCCAGGAAAATACCAGCTCCCTAAGAGAGCTGAGTGATGCAGAGGATGTAGTGAGTGCTGCACTTAGTCAGAAAGACCTGAATTCAGATCCTGCCTCAGACTTTGACAAGATCTTTAGTATGACCTGGGCTTACTTAACCTCTTTCAGCTCCAGCTTCTTCCATACAGAGAATGGGAATAGTAATAGCACCTGCGGGTAATGCATGTAGCGTGCTCTGCGCACCTGAAAGTCTGTAGAAATGCTAACTTAGAGAGGGGTTTTTTCCCCCTTTGGAGCCATATTGCAATACTTTGTATATAGTAGATGCCCGCCCAGTGCTAAGCCCTGGGAAAACGAAGAAAAGCAAAACCAGGCCCTGCCCCCAGGAGCCTACAGTCTAATGGGGAGTCACGTGCAAAGCACTGTGCACAAACCAGGTGCATCCAGGAGACACTGGAGATAGTTAGCAGAAGACAGGGCAATCCAGAAGGGATTCTGGCAGAAGTGAGACTTTAGCTGAGCCTTGAGAGGAGGTGGAGGTGAGCAGGGAGAGTGTTCTAGGCATGGTGGACAGCCAGGGGCCTAAGAAAGCTTGTGAAATAGAATCTGGAAGCACTGTGGGGGAGCAGATAAAGTGGCTGGTTCAAGTCCTGCCTCAACCACACCGGGTGGGGGTCTTGTCAATCCCTGTAACCTCCAGTGCTCTGGGCAAGTCCCTAAGAGGGAAACTAGGAGAGATCTGGGACTATAGGGAGATGGTCCTCACCGTAGCGTTCCCTGTACCAAGTAAAATCCCACCTCCAGCCCTTCTCCTTCTCTTAAATTGAAACTGGTTTCCCTTTTGGGGCTTAAGGAGAACCAGAGGTTATAAAGAGAATTGTTCTCCTGTTCTAGACCCATTGCAATGAATGTCAGAGGCTAGGAACACCAGCTAATTAATGCCCATTTAGGTTTGATTTGATTCACCCAAATACCTTTCGTTCGCTATTAACCACAGCTGTTTTCTACCTCTTTAACAAATACCCTGATTTTAAACCTGTTTTTCCAGTTCTCTGAGCAAGTCTGTTTTGAGGCCTTGTAAAGAGAAGCATTGTAAATGGCCATACTGGGTTCTTGAACCTTGTTTTAAAGAGATGGAGGCTACAGTATAGGATCGCCTCAGATAACAACCTTTAAAATGTTGGAAGTGCCTAGTGGCATGGCAGGAACAGTCCCTTGTTCTTAAACTTACCAAAGTCCTTGCTCAGTAATGCCCCTAACCCTTCAGTTTGGGCTCATTTGCAGAAAAGAGAGATACAAACACAGCACCTTTCAAGGCTACCTGAGGTTGTGTGTGGCTATATGCCCACTGTGATCAAATGTCCTCTAGTCTCACACTTCAGAAAAAGAAAGTCCTTTCTGAGGTCTGATGAAATCCCGTATCAGGAAGATTGGGGAGGAGCACCTGGATGGGGAGAGAGTGGGGCGGCACATGGGAATGGGGGTAGAGGTGGAGGAGGTGCATGGGGATATTTATTAGTTGGGAAAAGCAGCTCCTTTGTCCATTTGGCAGCTCTTACTATGAAACTGTCTGGGATGTCCTGATGAATTGAACACAAGGTAGAAAAATATGGGGGAAAGCTTTTTATTTACCACCATTGGCCTAATTCAGTTTTTCTTTTCTTCCCTCCAAGCTGGTAATAGCAATGGAAGAGCTGAAGCAGTGTCGACTGCAACAGAGAAATATTTCTGCCACGGTTGATAAATTAATGCTGTGTCTGCCAGGTGAGGAGTCAGAAATGGAGCAGGGGTCTGGGGGCAGTTCCTTCAGTTCCTTTCATTTGTCTTTCCCTTCCTCTAAATAATGCTCGTATGGTATTTTCTCCTCTTCTTTCCAGTCCTGGAGATGTACAGCAAACTGAGGGAACAGATGAAAACGAAAAGGTAAGGGACTTCTGGAATGTCTCTCTTGGTGTGAAGCTCGAACTGAAATTTCTCCCTGGCTGTGCTCAGATCAGTTAGGAGGAAGATTCCCTCATCTGGGGTGCTCTCCATTAGGCTTTCCCATCTTTCTGTGGGACAGCAACAGTTTCTCCAGGGAGCTTGCTCTCTGCCTGGGTTTGCTGGCGATCTTCAAAGCTCCAGGCTTCCTTGGGGCTGAGGGGCATGTAAAGTTGAGGTACCTTAGGGCTCCTGCCCTCAGGGAGCGCCTCGTCTCATCAGACAATGGGGCACAGACACAGATTGTGGTGATCCAGATCTGTAAGGGGAGGGCCTCAGCTATTACTCATTGTTCTAGAAATGTCTTCTTCACTATTCACAGTAGAGGACGTACAAGAAAGTTTACAGATAGAAGGTCGCTGGTATGAGATCATGCAAAGGTATGGTCAGTGAGAACATTTCTTCATGCACCTGCTTGCCTTGGGTTCTGCCCAGAAGAAACATCCTCAAATGGTTTTCTCACTTCATCTCGGGGGTGGGTACTGCTAGTGTTTTCCTTATATAAAATGATAGAGCCTAGAGTCTTGCCTGACCTCAGAGACCTCTGAAGAGTTCTTTGGCCACGCTTCTAGGGCCTGATGGAAACTGGACATCCTCTCTCCTTTTACAAATGCAAACATCAGCTGTGGAGTTTGGGTGTTTTAATTTCCTGACCCCTGACATATAGGCATCAGCAAAATAACCAGGGTACGTGGCATAACGTTGAATGAAAAAATGTTCTTCATTTTGGCCCAATACACACCTCTTTCTAAGATGGATGAATGGATGAGAAAGCACTTCTGTGTTTAAGCACTGGGGGTAGAGAGAGAAAAGCAAGATGGCCCTTGTGCTCTTGAAGATCCCATTCTAATGGGGGGGGGTGGAGACAACAGATGGAGAGGGTCTCAGCTGCAAGCCAGCTGGATAGGCTGTTGTTTCCCCCCCCCCCACCCCCCACCCCCCTTTATTAGAATGGGATCCTCTGCCTTCTGCTTTAGCTCAGGTGGCTTTCCTGCCCTATGGGTAATAGTTGGTGGGGATGGCTGGTCCCTTCTTCATGAGAGTTACTGCACTAAAAGATGGCTTTGGGGATTAGGTTAGAGGCAGGGCTGGGGGCTTTCTGCTTTGGTTAAGTAAGCTTGTGTGGTCTTTGGGATGTACTCTCTGTCTCACTTATTCCAGGACTGATTATCCAGTTTTCTTCTTTTCCTTTCCCAGTCCCTGCCACATGACTTTATTTCCTCCCTCATACCTCTAGTGAGGTTGTACTTGGTCAAAGTGAGGTACAGCTCTCTAATAAAAGGTTCAGAAACAGCCCCAATGCAGTTTGGACCCTGGTGACCACTGGCAGTCAGGGGTACAGCTAGTTATTTGCACTGAGTGCTTAGCTTGGAGAAGGAAGTTACGAATTTCTTGCCGTATTTGAAGAGAAGAATACGAGATGGACATGAAGTATGCCCACAGAAGGACAGAGAAGGAATGAGGCGACATTCCTTGTTACCAGGAGCCATTGGCCTTTGCACCGTGAGACATAAAAACGTGGAGCTGTTCCTGAGGCCAGATGTTGGCAGCATGCGTCCTCGGAGCTCATCAGCGAATGCCTTACGTGTCCACAGGCCACATGGATGGATTCTTCTCATTCTATAAACAATGTTCCAAAATATAACTAAACCCCAAAGTGTGTTTATCTCTTTGGCTTAATTTCTGGCTTTCTATCCATTCTTAAGTTTCTCTCCAGAGGAATCACATTTTATTGCAAATAGCTTTTCGTACCTAATTGTAGTATAAACAGTGTCCTGTTTACACTAAGCCATGTGAATTGTGCTGTTCTTTGAGTCTATAAAATCTGAGTAAAAACAACTTCCCCGAGACTTAACTGTAGCTTATACTGAAAACCTTTTTGAATTGGGGAAAGAGACCTCAGTCTCCACCATTTATTTTTATTTTTGGAAGGGATTGGGGCAGATATGAACACAAATAAAAAAGGTAGTGAGTGCATTAGGAGCCATGCAGTTCACCCTAATGTGGGAGATCTGCTTACACTGCTTTGTTCATTGATTGAAACAAATCTGCAAAACTAAAAACGACTCCTTTTTTAGACTGGGGAGGAAAGGAAAAACAAGGAGTTATGGGAAAAAAAAACAATGTTTTCTGCCTTTAGTTGGATGAATTTACACTGGAGTTGGATGGCTAAGAAGCATTAAACGACTGTAACTAGTGGTCTAACTAGAAGTCTTTGGTGCTTGTGAGTTTGCTGCTCATGAAGAGACTTGGGAAGTGACTTATGTTAGTCAAAATGAGCTTTTGAATAGACTCGATTCCTTGGGCAAGCTTAATTTTTCAAAAGAGTGAAAAGATGTCAAGGGCAATGAGAAGCGTGTTCTCCTGTCCTTATGGCAGGTGCATAAAACACCACCATCCTTCCTGGAGCTAGAATTTTCAAGAGTGCAGGAAGAAGAATTCCTCCTAAAAGCAGCCACCCGAGGGAGCTTGTTTTATGTTAACAGGACACACATCTTCATTTCCCAGGGGCTGCTTGACTCATTCAGGGTCTTTTCCCTCATCTTCCTTGTTTTTTGTCATTTGGCCATTTTCATAGTTTCAGGGCCAAAAAGTTTGATTGGAAGGGCTAAAGTTGAAATTTAAAGCCCCCAAAAGATAAAAGTGGTAGATTTCAACTGGCTATTCCCTCTGGGTAATTGAGAATTGTATTTTATGTGAAGGTGCATAGGTTGTATGTGAGTGAAGTTATTAGTCGAAGACCTCATTCCTTGAATGGAGCACGGCCCTTGTGGGAGGAAGTTCGTAGTGGTTCATGTACTTTATATGCTTTTCTGAGAAGAAAGTGAAGTCCTTAAAGCTTTAGTTACACGTGTGTGGTTCAGATCAAGTCATGGAGCATTTAAGAAGTGCCAGGCACTGTGCTCATCCCTAGGAATACAAAGAAGGGGCATCACCCCTCCTTTCCGCCAAGTCCCTGTTCTCCAGTAGTTCACAATCTAATGGTAGAGACAACATGCAAACAGCTACGTGCAAACAACACATTTACGGGACCCGTTGGGTCAGTCTCAGAGGGAAGGCTGCTTGGAGAAGGTAGGATGTTAGCTGAGATTTGAAGGGAGTCAGGGAAGCTAGAATGGCCAGAATGAGGGACATGGAGTGTCATATGGCTTCTGGCCTTAGTACCCAACCAAAATGACTCCCTCCACGGCAGTAGCGATCTCTTAATCGCCGCATCTGATGGCCTTTTCACAGTCCGAATTCTCAACCTAGCTGCTCGTTATGGTTGTCCACCTTCCCCCGGATGTTCTCTCCTTTTTGGGTTTTCACGACACTGCTGTCTCCTGGGTCACCTCCTTCCTGCCCCGCTGCTGCTTCTCAGTCTCCTTTGCTGTCTCACCATCCCTATCATGTCCACTCACTTGGGCTGTTCCCCCAGGGCTGTTCTGTGCCAGGCCTTATCTGTGCAGCGGAGGTACAGATCTTTACATTTGGCCCAGGTCTCTCCCTTGAGCTTTAGTCTTCCGTCATCATGCCTTCTGGACATTTTAAAACAAGGAAACATCTGAAACATAGAAACCAGAGCTCGTTATCTTTTCCCCCTAAATCCTGTCCAGTTCCAGATGTCCTTATTTCTGTCAAAGGAAGCCCTGTTCTTCCATTCTCATGGCTTTGTAACCTTGGTAAATCTGAATTTCTCACTCTTCCTCAGGCCACATAGTTCATCAGTTGCCAAGTCTTATTGTTGCAAGATTTAGAACATCTCCTGCACTCTCTGCCTTCTCCACTCTCACAAGCACCCCTTAGTTCAGGCCCTCCTCATCTCTTCTGTAGATGGCCTCCTCACAGGCCTCCCAGCCTCAAGTCTCTCATTGGTCAAGTCCATTCTACCATAGCTGTCAGTTTCCTTAAGCACGGGTCTGGCCATTTGAATTCTTCTGCTCTGCCAACTCCAGTGGATAAAATATAAACTCCTCTGTTTATCTTTTAAAGCCCTGTTCAACCTGAACTCCAGCCTACCTTTCCAGCTTCCCTCACTGCACTCTGTAGTCTAGCTCGACTGGCTTCTCTCTGTTCTTCATGAACAATATTCTATCTCAGTAAGTCACTAAGCATTTATTAAGTGCCTACTAGTGTCAAACACCATGGATACAAAGAAAGGCAAAAGACAGTTTCTGATGTTAAGGAATTTACAACTTAATGAGGGAGAGAACGTGCAAATAACTGTGTGCAAACAAAATATATACAGGATAAACAGTAGACAAAAATCAAGAGACAAGGCACTAGAATGAAGAGAGATCATGAAGGGCTTCCTGTAGAAAGTAGGATTGTAGCTGAGGCTTGAAGGAAACCAGGAAAGCCAGGAGATGGAGATGAGGAGTGAGAGCATTTCAGGTGTGGGGGACAGCCAGTCCCTCCTCGACTTGAGTTGAGTCATGGAGAGTTTTATTTGGGGAATAGCACAGAGGCCAGTGTCCCTGTATCAAAAAGTGTGTGTTGGGGAATAAGGTTTAAGGAGACTGGAGAGGTCTGAGTGGCAGGTTATGAAGGAGGATTTTGTATTTGGTCCTGGAGGTGACAGGAAACCACTGGAATTGACTGATTAGGGGGTGACATGGTCAGACTTGCATTTTAGGAAAATCACTTTGGTGGCTGAATGGAGGCCGGACTGGAGTGGGGAGAGATTCAAGGCAGGCAGACCCACCAGCAGCTATTACAGTAGTCAGCATGAGGTGATGAGGTCATGTACCAGGGAGGGGGCATGAAATAGACAGTTGTTGGCAACAGATTGAATGTGGGGACTGAGAGTGAGGAATCCAGGAGGACTCCTAGGTTGTGGGCCTGAGGGACTGGGAAGATGGTGGTGATTTCTACAGTAATAGAGAAGGTAGGAGAAGGGGAAGGATTTAGGGGGAAAGATGATGAGTTTTGTTTTGAATATGTTGAGTTTAAGATGTCTGAAATGCAGTTGGAGATGCAAGATTGGAGGTCCACAGAGAGATTGGGGCAGGAAAGGTGGATTTGAGAATCATCAGCATAGAGATGCTAATTGAACCCATGGGAGCTGATGAAGTCACCAAGTGAAGTCAGATAGAGACAGAAGACAAGAGGGCTCAGGACCGAGTCCTGAAGGACACTTCGTTGTTGTTTGTCCTTCATTCTTCGAGAGGACCATGACATCAGAAGGGGAGGCCATGGCTCAAGTAAGTGAATTGGATTTAAGTGAGGCAGGGCTGTGCAAAGTGACCAGCCTCGACTTCTCCTCCAGAGCCATCAGGGTCCAGAGGCAAGATATCCATCAGGACGCCTACAGCTAGCAGGCATGAACAGGATGGAGATCCTGCAAAGGAGATGGCCATCCCCGTTCATCTGCACTGTGCCTCCCTGAGGCTTTCTTTTCCTTTAAGATACAGCCCAGGTGCCATTTTCTGCTTGAAGCCTTTCTTGATTCCTTCACTTGCTAGTGCCCTCCCTTCCAGAGTGCCTTGTCTTTAGCTACTTTGTTGGTCTTTTTCTTAACTTTATATTTATGCTGTATGTATTTTTATATGTACTTGTTTCCTCTGTTGGAATGTAAGCTTCCTGCGAGTAGGAATGGTTTCATTTTTTGGACCTGTATACCCTGCACCTCAGAGCTGGGCACATAGTAGGTCCTTAATAAATACTTGTTGATTGGTGAGTCTCAAAGGTGAAACTTAGACCTTCTGTAGGTTCCTTCCTCCTCTAATAGGGTCTGAGTTATGGAATCTTCATGTGTACATGTATCTCTTTGGTAAGCAGGGCACAAGGAAACATCTTGGAGACTATGGAGCCATTATTAGATACAGAAATCAGGGGTTACGTAGATGAAGGTTTTCTTTAAAAACAATGGTCAGATTCTTAGATCCAATCTCAGGTGGCTAAGGGGCCCCATAGTGCACAGAGTGCCAGGCCTGGAGTCAGGAAGACTCATCATCTTGAGTTCAAATGTGGCCTTAGACACTGACTAGCTGTGTGACCCTGGGCAAGTCACTTAACCCTGTTTGCTTCAGTTTCATCATCTGTAAAATGAGCTGGAGAAGAAAATGGCAAACCATTCTGGTATCTTTGCCAGGAAAACCCCAAATGGGGTCAAGGAAGAGTCGGGCACGAGACTGAACAGTCAATTGGGGAATGGCTGAACAAGTTATGGTATATGATTGTGATGGAATATTGTGCTGTAAACAACGATGAAGATGACCCAGTCTCGTTGCATATGCTTAGTGCTCTTCAATATGGTTAGTTCACAGCTTTATCATGTAAATTCCTTCTCATAGTAACTGGGTATACACACAGAATAAGTGTGCATGCTTGGAACTGAACCAAAAGCCCCCAGGGGCCAGTAGATCAGAGTTCTAGAGCTAAAAGAGACCTAGCCCAGGGCTTCTTAAACTTTTTCCACTCGAGACCCCTTCAGTGCTTCTTAAACTGTGGGTCAAGAGCCACACAGGACCATAGGAGGTTTAAGAAGCACTGATCTAGACCTGTCACTTCATTTAACAGATGAGGAAACTGAGGTGCAGGGAAGTTCAGTGACTTTTGCTCACTCAGAAAGTAAAAATAATAAAAGTTACAAGCCTCAGAGTCAGAATTTGAAGCCATCTTCTGATTGGTGGGTCAGTGTCCTTTCCAGAGTTCCACACCACTTCCCATGCCAGATCTCTGTGACTGTCACGTCACTGTCTGTGTCTGCTGACTACCTAGTCTCTCTGGTGTACTTCAAGTCTACTTTCTGGTTTTCTGGGGCTCAGCAGAGGGGTCGGGACATCTTTGTAATCAACACTTATATGTTCAACATGATAGTCAGTCTTTGGCAACAGCGTGCAGAGGGTCTTGATTATGCCATCTGCTGAAACTCATCACAATTCTGTGGGTCTGTGATTCTTTGATTAGAGGGTTTTTTCTGTGTCTTGTATGTCACTGGAAGTCCTTTTCCCTTTTTTTTTTTCATTTTTTTTCTGGTATCCTGCATAAATACATCTGCTTTTCCTCTCCTCACCTCCCGTGGCTCCATTATTAGGTATCTCTTCATCTAGACAACACATACAAAAGCTAAATGGCCCGAGGTTCTCCTTACATTCACTGTCATGCCTAAACACAATAGTAAGCCTGCTATCTTTATGCATGAAGAAAATGAAAGCTTGCCTCAGGAAGACTGTTGTCATTTAGAAGAGATGAAAGGAGTCTGTGAATCTAAGAAATCCTGGGCAGAACTAAATTTGTGGGATTCCTTTTACAGACATTACCCAGCATTGAAAACTCTGGAGCACCTGGAACACACCTACCTGCCCCAAGTGAGCCACTATCGTTTCTGCAAGGTCATGGTGGACAACATCCCCAGGCTTCGGGAAGAAATCAAGGATGTTTCCATGTCCGATCTCAAAGACTTCTTGGAAAGTATCCGAAAGCACTCAGACAAAATTGGGGAGACTGCCATGAAGCAGGTAGGTTTTAGATTTGAGATTTGGTGGGCAATGAGTGTTTGAATGTTTAACTGAATGAAGATTTCTGTTTGCCCAGTGACTGGGGCATAGAGAGAATGGAACACATTTTCATATTCTGCCTTTGTCTTTCTGAATTAGAGAAAGGGGCAAGCATTAATTAAGAGCCTACTTGGTGCCAGGCACTGTGCTAAATATGGTCTGACTGTGATCTTTCAATAACCCTATGAAGGAGGTGCTCAGCCCTCAGCTGGGCTACACCTGGCTTGTGAATTGAAATTTCTGTCTTACTAGGTGAGTAGGCTATTGACATTGACTGTTGCTCGGTACCCTTGGGGTGCTGTGTAAGTCAGGACTTGCGTGCATTTTCTCTGTCTTGCTTAACGTCTGCCTGTTGTTGAAATCCTGGTTCTTCTTAGTCCTCGTAAGGTGGGAGACCTAATTTACCTTCTAGATAAGGCTTCAGTTGGGCTGCCTGTGCGAGGAAGGACTCTTGGTTGCTTTCTTTTCCTGTCCTTTAAGCAAGATGGCGAGCTGGATGTGGGTGTGTCTACAGAACTCGCTCTAAATAGGCCACATTGCTTAAGGTTCTTGCCTTAAGTTTTGACTCCTCTCAGTCTTTGTCTCCAAAGCTTCCAGAAATGTCTGGGCTCCTTTTGTGTTTCTGAATATAAAGAGCAGTAATGACTTACAGTACTATTGCTTTTTTTCAATTCAGGTCATATTGATTTTATTAAATTTCCCCAGTTTACCTGATGATGTACCATCTGAAGAATAAATAGAAGATCCCGTTGTTTATGGAAAGTGTTTGTGTTTTGGCTCCAAAAGCCAGTTCTTGGTTCTTCAGGAGGTCGTTTTGAGTTCTTATCACTGTGCACATGGAAAGAGGGAGTCATTTTCATCTGTCTCCTGGGCCCCAGCTGACCCTGCGGAGCTTCCTTCCAGTGCTTTTCTGCTCCAGCAGAGGATATTTACCAATTAGACTTTTCTAAGAGGATGCAGATGCCTGGCTTTGCTGGGGTTTTTTCTCCTCTCCTTTTTGCCTGTGTTAGAATATTCAAAGAGCAGAGTTTAAAATGAAGCGAAGGAAAGCTTTTCTTTCGGAATTCTATGACTATTTGATTTCTGGGTGCCATGCAAACTTTATAGTTAAAAAAGCCTTTTTTTATTTGTGGTTAGCAGAGAAATACTTGTGTTCCTTGTACCGGAAAATCATCCTCAGGGCAATCCTTCATTGTCATTAACTGCTCTGTCTGAAGCCTTCCAAAATGGATGTTCTGCTGTCCTGCTTCTGAACAGGCCCGTATGTGCTGTCTTGCCCTGTTAGCCTGTGAGCTTCACGAGAGCGGGGGCTGTCTGGGGTGTGGGTACAGCCCTGAGCTGAGGGAGACCCCTTTTCACCTCGTGGTTTGGTGCTCTGGGAATCTCTTACAAAAGGGACTCTGGCCTTTTCTTTTCTTTTGATACAAGATAGGAAATCTATCAGAGGAAATGTCTGGAAGCGCATCTCTCCAAAGGGGCAGCCTCCATTTAGGAGACCTTACCTGTTGTGTGGGCTGTTTTGGAAAGATAACGGCAGCGGAGGCTTTCCTGAACCTGCTTTTTTCAGTTCCGGCAGAGTTCATTCCGTCTCCTCTGCCACTTTTGGGCTACCGCTTTCATGGTCCTCGTTGAGTACTTCCACCTGTAATGCAGGTGTTGGTGTGTTCTTTGTGTTTCATCCACCAGGTTTTCTCTCTTTGCTTGTCGTAACTCACCGTGCCTTATTCTTCACGATGCTTTTCTCCTGAGCACTCCGCCCATCCTTAATGGGGTCTTGCACGTACTTTTGGTGGTGGTGTTCTTGAGTCATTTTCTGTTGTGTCTGACTCTGTTACCCCATTTTTTTTTTTTTTTTTTGGCAAAGATACTAGAGTGGTTTGCCATTTTCTTCTCCAGCTCGTTTTACAGGTGATGAGACTGAAGCAAACAGGGTTAAGTGACTTGCCTAGGGTCACACAGCTAGTAAATGTCTGAGGCTGGCTTTGAACCCAGGGAGATGAGCCTGCCTGACTCCAGGCCTGGCATTCTGTCCACTGCACCACCTAGCTGCCCCTTGCACACTAGTCACTCGTTAAATGTTTGTTGGATAAATGTTAAGTGGTGGTGGGGGAGTGGATAGCCTTGGAGATAGGAAGACCCGGGTTCAAGTCCTTTCCCAGCACTACGTGTGACCATGGTCAAGTTACTTACCGCCTCAGCATTATCCCAGGTACTGGGGATATGTCCGCAATTGTAAATTACAAAAGACTTACTAATGTGCTTTGAAGGAAGGAATTTTCACACTTACAATTCCCCATGTAGATGACATCTTGGAGTCAGGAAGACCTGGGTTCAGATCCTGCCTCAGACACTACTGGGTGACCCGGGGCAAATCGCAGAAGTGATTGCCTCGTTTGTCCAATGAAGGTCCCCTCCACCCCTAAGTCTGTGCTTCTCTGAAACCAATAAAATAGTTAATGAAGTCTTTGTCCTTTTGCATTCTGTAACTTTATGTAGTATTCCTGTTATTTGGTTTCATTCTTCTTTTACTCTGAAACCTCAGCTTGCTCATTGAGTAATTATGTCTTCTTGGTTCCAGCTTTTTGACGTCCTCTACTATTTCACCCTTCCTTAGCTCCGTGGCAGAGGGAGAGAGAGTCCTGGCCTTGGAGTCAGAATTCTGTTGAGTAAATTATTGAGTACCTACTGTGTACAAGGTGCTGGACTGGCTTGGTGCTTGGGATCCCCAGATACAGATTAGACTGTGTGTACCCTCTTGGAGCAGGGCTTGGTTTGAATCCTAGCTCACACGCTTCTCTCTTTGAGATCCCAGGATCTCTCTCAGCCTGTTTTTTCTGTGGCAACATGGTGATGCTGATACTCACACTAGCTTCTTCACAGGCTGGCCTCAAGGGCAGGAATCATGTTTTTGCCTTTCTTTGTATTCCCAGCAATTAGTGCAGTGCCCGGCACATGCTTAGCACTCAGCCAGTGCCCATCGACTGACTAACAGACAGGAAGTGGAACAAGATGAGGGAGGAGTTTCAACATTCATTTTTGATTATATAAGATTTTGAGTTCTAAAATTTTCTCCCTCCCTCCCCTTCCCCCTTCCCAAGATGGCATTTGATCTGATGTAGGCCATACATGTACAATCATATTAAACATATTTTCATATTAGTTATATTGTAAACAAGAATCAGAATGAAAGGGAAAAACCACAAGAAAGAAAAAACAAGAAAAAAAAAAAGAGAAGAAATAGTATGCTTTGATCTGCATTCAGACTCCATAGTTCTTTCTCTGGATGTGCATAACATTTTCCATCGTGAGTCTTTTGGAGACGTCTTAGATCCTTGCATTGCTGAGAAAAGCTCAGTCTGTCAAAGTCAGTCATTGCACAGTGTTGCTGTTACTATGTACAATGTTCTCCTGGTTCTGTTCACTTCACTCAGCATCAGTTCATGTAAGTCTTTTCCAGCTTTTTCTGAAATCTGCCTTTTGTACGAGTAGGTCCTTTTCCCATTTTTATGATCTCTTTGGGATAAGTGCTGTTGCTGGGTCAAAGGGTATGCACAGTTTTACAGCCCTTTGGACATAGTTTCAAGTTGCTCTCCAGAATGGCTGGATCAGCTCACAACTCCACCAATAGTGCATTAGTGTTCCAGTTTTCCCATATCTTCTCCAACATTCATCAGTTTCCTGTTTTGTCATGTTAGCCAATCTGATAGGTGGGGGGTGGTACCTCAGAGTTGTTTTGATGTGCATTTCTAGGAGATGGCATTTTAGAAGGGATCTCAGCAGAGACAATGAGATACTGGGTTTCATCACGGTCAGGCCCTTCCAGGCTTGTGCCCGGATGTATTGGGAAGCCTCCAGTGTGGACCACGAGAGAGCTTTGTTTGCATTTGCTCGTGCCTGTACTCATTGGAATGTCAGCTCTTTGAGGGCTCTACTTTAACTTTACTTCACTCCCAACACCTAGTAGGATGCCTGTTATAGGAGACTCTTAATGAGCAGTTTGTTGAATTGAATTGAATCAAGCAGGTAACCCTAGAAGGTTGACGATGGTCACTGAAAACAAATCTCAAACATCTTACTTCTAGGGGCTGTTCGCAGCCCAGCTGACTTCATTTATTGGAACACAAGGTTTGTCCTGTTGAAACCAGGGGCAAAGAATAGTATTGGACTGAGTGGGCAAAGACAGCCTTCCGTAATGCATCCATCTTTGTTAGTTCTCCCTTGATCCTTGTGGTGATCAGTTTGCCCAGGGAAATCAGATTCCCACATTTTAGTAGTGAAGCTGCAATCGTTTTATGGGTTATAAAATTATCCAGTCCCTAGGGTTGATTTAAAGAGCAGGAAAAGATTTCTCTCAAACCTGACTTCCTCGGCAGATGCCAGTCAAGGACCTATCCCTTGAAAGGTGGGCCTCTGATAGCACGGAGGAGCCTGGCCCCTCAGCTGGACGCTGGGCTTGAGCGAAGTCCTGGCTGCTGCCAAGCAGCATCTGCCGGGCAGGGGGCTGAGGAGCGAGCGGGGCCGCTAGGAGCGTTCGGTTTAAATTAGGCTTGTGCAAATGCTCTTCAGCTGTGTGCCTCTCAAGCAGGGAAACAGACACGGTTTGACATGATGGCAAACAAAGCAAATGCTGTTTTTTGTCATGTAAAAACCTTGAGGTTGATGATGACAGAGTTGAAAATTTGATTTTGTGATAATCAGAATGATCTGTCTCCCTTGCCTTGAGTCCATAGTTGGGGCCTGGCCCAGGTTCAGGGGAGGCGGTACATCCTTTGGCTCCCTCTGTTGGACAGGAAACCGTGATTGGGAATGGGGGTAGGGTGGGGCAGATCGGCACTGACAGGCCATCCGTTCTGCAGCTGCCTGGGCCTGGGCCTGGGCCGTGGCCCTCAGCAGGAGAGAACAGGCCTCGGCGTCATTTCATTGAGAAACTTAACTTTCATGTAAATTGAAAACAAGAAAGT